AATGTCCACCCCAGCAGGGCAAGAACCATGTCTGTTTCTCATTCTCCTTTGTATTTCAAGTGTCCAGCACACGGTGGGTACCTGTTTGATGAATGACTAAATGACTGAACAAATAGCTGGAAGACTGCAGCATGGAGAATGAATTGGAGGAGGTGAAACAAGGCAGGGAGGCCAGTTTGGTTACTGAAGTAGAACAGCGTTCAAAGAGGTAGGAGAAAGGGAATAGGCTGAAATTTTTGTTAGATATAGCTTGCAGGACTTGCCGGTCGGGCAGTTGTGCTGCAAGAGACGAGGAGAGCGAAGTCAACCATTGTGCCCAAGTTTCTGGCTTCAGTGGCTAAGGAGTGGGTGGTCCCATTTGAGAGATAAGGAAGAAGCTGAAGAAGAGATCTGAGTAATGTTGCTGGGTTCCAGCATGGCCACCTTAGTTATGGGAAAGGGGTCTCCATCTAGACCCCAAGAGAGAGTTCTTGGATCTCACAGAAGAAAGAATTCAGGGAGAGTCCACAGAGTAAAGTGACAGTACGGTAAGAAAGTAGAAGAATAAAAGGATGGCTACTCCATAGACAGAGCAGCCCCGAGGACTGCTGGTTATCCATTTTTATGGTTATTTCTCGATTCTTAATATGCTAAATAAGAAATGGATTACGTATGCCTCCCCTTTGCAGACTACATAGGGTGACTTCCTGATGTTGCCATAGTATTTGTCAGCTGTCACAGCATTGGTGGGAGTGTAGCGGTGAGGACGCCCAGAGGTCACTCTCATGGCCATCTTGGTTTTGGTGGGATTTAGCCAGCTTCTTTACTGCAGCCTGTTTTATCAGCAAGGCCTTTATGACCTGTATCTTGTGCCATCCTTCTGTCTCATCCTGTTACTTAGAATGCCTTAATTGCCTTAATTGTGAATGCAGCCCCGTAGGTCTCAGCCTCATTTTACCCAGCTCCTATTCAAGATGGAGTCGCTCTGGTTCACATGCCTCTGACAGTTGTGCTGCAAGAGAAGAGAAGAATGAAGTCAACCATTGCTCCCAAGTTTCTGGCTTAGGTGGCTAAAGGGTGGGTGGTCCCATGTGATAGAAAAGAAAGAGACTGAAGAACAGGTCTAAGTAATGTTACTGGGTTCAGGCTAAACCACCTTGCACCAGAGATGCTGGTGCATCTGTCCAGGAGGTAATGACACACAAATTTTGGTGTCTAAGAAGGAATCTTTGAGCATTCTTCTATTGAAGTTTCAGGGCATTGGAAATCTAGAATGTTCCTCTAAAAGGCAGGAAGATGGGTTCCAGTCCCAGCTCTAATATTAACTTGTGCTACCTTAAACAATTCATGACATTTCAGGAATGTGTGATCCTCAGAGCCTTAGTAGCAGATTCCAAACCTTTTGGCTTTGACATTTGGTACCTTCAGGTAGCCCTAGAATGTAAAGAGGTACTTTCTCTTGAAAGGCTTTATCAGTTGGAGCTATTTGCATTACAAGGAATATAAACTCAGCTGAAACTGTGCTATACATAGAAAGTTAATATGTGGCTTCCTGGGGTGGTGCCTTGAGCAGTAGACCAAGCGGAGGACACAGTCGCCAGGAAAGAGTGCGTGATTCATGAATGATGTCTAGCATAGACACAGAGGCAGAAACAAGGACATACTTTTGTTTCAGTTCTGAAACCAAAGCTTTTCCTCTATGGCCTTTTCAAATAATGTTGATTGAACGTAGGTTCCACTCTGGCTCAGCCATTTGCTCTTGGTAACCTTAGTTTAATCATTTTATATGCCAGAGCTTAACAGTTTCCTTATTTGTCACGCAGGAGTAATAGTCCTGTTTTTTCTACCTTCATTGTTGAAAGGATCTAATGAGAAAAGGAGGACAGAGCCCTGATGGTCTCTGTGAATTTCTGTAAATTCATGTATGTGACACTGAGATCCCAATATGTGATGAAAGAGCAGCAAATACTTCTGGTCTCCTGAGAGATGAAAGTTCAAAGTTTATTGCTAATGAATTAATTTTTAAAATGTAGAGAGTCTTATAATACAAGAATCTGGAAACAAGAAAAAATAAAAGGAGCTATCATAAAATTGTCAAATAAAAGTTAAATAAAGTGTCAGCAAAGCACCATGGCACATGTATACCTATGTAACAAACCGGCATGTTCTGCTCATGTATCCCGGAACTTAAAGTATAATTTAAAAAATTAAAAAAAAAAAAAAAAAAAAGGGCCAGACGCAGTGGCTCATGCCTGTAATCCCGGTGCTTTGGGAGGCAGAGGTGGCAGGTGCTTGTAATCCCAGCTACTCAGGAGGCTGAGACAAGAGAATTGCTTAAACCTGGGTCAGAGGTTGCAGTGAGCCGAGATCATGCCGCTGCACTCCAGCCTGGGCTACAGAGCAAGACTCCGTCTCAAAAACATAAAAAGGGAAGAAAATGTCAATGAAAAGAGTCAAACTCTGTAAAATATTTGGAGAGATTTATTCTGAGCCAAATATGAGTGACCATGGCCCGTGACACAGCCCTCAGGACTCCTGAGAACATGTGCCCAAGGTGGTTGGGATGCAGCTTGGTTTTATACCTTTTAGGGAGGTGTGAGACATCAATCAAATACATTGAAGAAATACATTGGTTTGGTCCAGAAAAATGGGACAATTTGAAGGGGCTTGGGGGGACTTCAAGACTATAGGTAAATTTAAACATTTTCTGGTTGACAATTGGTTGAGTCTAAAGACCGGCGACCAATAGAAAATGTTCACGTTAAGATAAAAGATGGTGGAGAACAAGGTTCTTTTGAAGTCTCATAGTGGCTGCCCTTATAGACAATGGATGACAAATGTTTCCTATTCAGACCTTTAAAAGGTGATAGACTCTCAGTTAATCTCTTCAGGATTGTGAGGACTGGAAGAAAAAGATCAAGCTATGTTAATAGAGCTTCTTTACAGATGTAGATCCCCGCCCTCCCCCACCACAAAAAAAAAAAAAAAAAAAAAAAAAAAATGGCTTTGTAGGGCCACTTCAAAATATAGCAAAAAAAAAAAGTGTTTTGGGGTAAATTACTTTGATTTTCTTCTGTCATGTAATGTGCCAGAGTCAGATAGGAAAGTAAGTCATGATATAGAATGTTAAATAAAACCCATCTGATGAGAATTTCTGGTTTGCAGGGCATGACTCCCAGACCACTTAGATAGAAATTTGGGCAAGATAAGACAAAATCAGAGCTTAGTCCTCAAAAGAAAGAGAAAGAGAAGTAACAATGAAGGAATAGAGGGAGGGAGAGAGAGAGGAAGGAAGGAAGAAGAGAAGGAAAAAAGGAAGGACAGAGGAAGGAAGAAGGGAAGGAAGAAAGAAGGGAAGGAGGGAGGGAGGAAAGGAAGGAAGGAATCATTCAGAGCAGGAGAGAATGTAGTTAAATTGAATGGAAATTGATAAAACTCTTTCATAGAAGAGTTGGCAATATTTGTCAAGAGCCTTAACAGTGTTTATACTCTTTGGCCAAATAATTCCACGTTTTATAATCCAGATCAAAAGTTAGCAAACTTAATAAAGGACTGGATAGTAAATATCTCCAGCTCTTCTGGCCTTGCAGTTTCTATCACCAGCACACCACTCTACTATAGCAGAGCAAAAGCAGCCGTGGATAATACATAAATGAATGGGTATGGTTTTGTTTCCATTAAAACTTGATTTACAAAACCAGGATATGGCCAGATTTGGCCTGTGGGTCATAGTTTGCCAATCCCTGATGTAAATTAAGAAAACAGGCCCGGTACCATGGCTCACACTTGTAATCTCAACATTTTGGGAGGCCAAGGTGGGAGGATTGCTTGAACCCAGGAGTTCAAGACAAGCCTGGGCAACATGGTAAAACCTCATTTCTACAATAAATAAATAAATAAATAAATAAATAAGTAAATTAACCTGGTGTAGTGGTGCATGCCTGTGGTCCCAGCTACTCAGGAGAATCATCTCAGCCTGGCAGGTAGAGGCTGCACTCTAGCCTGAGCAGCAGAGTGAGATGCTGTCTCAAAAACAAGTAAGTTAATTAAAAAGAAAACATTTTTAGAATTATTCTAAATTCAAAATTATAAATATAATGAGAGGTTTCAACGAAAAGAGTTTCATCTCAGTTTTATTTGTAATAGCAAAATATTGGCACAACTGTAACACTAATTAATAGAGGGATTCATTTGATTTTTTACTCAATCAAATATTAAGTACACAAAAATGCTATTTAATAATAATTTATAACATGAAGAAATATTGATAAAACATTACATGAGAAATGGAAACAAACTTATTTATAATGATGATAATGGTGGTGAATAGTATCTAAGTCTTTACGCAAGTCATTTAACTCTCCAAACACATCTATGAAGTCACTTTTTTAATGGAATGACTTTCCTTATGGAGAAGCTGATGGTGATAAACATTAAGTAATTTAGTCAAGGTTAAGCTGCTAGCAGGTGTCAGAGATGGAACGTGAATACAGGTCTGCTTAACTGCAAAAAGCAAAAACAAAAGCAACCAACCAAGAAAAACCCCAAATTAAACTGTTTAAAAGACCAGAAGAAACTACACTCAAAAGTTGCTATCGGCTGTCTTGATTGGTAAGAGGTGGATAGGAACATCGAGTAACGTGTTCAGTATTTTCTCTGATGAGAATGTATCATTTTAGTAATGAAGAAGCAACACATGAATTTCACAGGAAAGCCAAGGATGGCAGAATGGTAAGTGGGACTGCGGTGGGAGAAGTGTTTATTTTGGGGGTCTAGAGGTTCCCTTGGGGATGCCCTTCATCCTCTTGGTCCTGCTTTTGTTTGTGAAAAGGACATGGTGCTACCCTTCCCTCTGTCTTGTTCTAGGTGGAGTTTCTAGTGTGTCTTTTGTTGGGACGGTTGGCCTGTTTTTATGCTGTTCTTGGGTTGACATGCCAGTCTCTAACTCACTCTCTCTCTCTGTCTGTCTCTCTCTCCATTTCTCTTTTTCCCCTTCTTCATCCACTTGTTCCACTCTGCAGCTGACAAGGTCAATGACGACTTCTACACCAAGCGACGGCACCTGGCTGAGCTGGCTGCCAAGGGGAACCTACCTTTGCACCCCGTAAGAGTGGAGGACGAGCCGCGGGCCTTCAGCCCCGAGCACGGTCCTGCCAAGCAGAATGGACAGAAGTCTCGCACCAACAAGATGCCCCCACATCCCCTGGCCTACAACTCCACCACCAACTTTAAGGGCTGGGACCCCAGCGAGCAGTCCCTGCGGCGGCAGGCTTACGGCAACAAGGGCAAGCTTGGCACGGCCGAGACAGGCTCCAGTGACCCCTTGGGAACTCGCCCCCAGCACTACCCACCCCCACAGCCATACTTCATCACCAACAGCAAAACAGAAGTGACTGTCTGAGCTTTCAACACAGGGAGCACCCTGGAGACCACACCCAATTGAGAGATGCAAAAAAAAAACAAAAAAAAAAACAAAAAAAAAAACCCTGGCCCCACCCTCCCCTCTCCAACACATGCACCCATACACTAACTCTCAACAAGAACCAACTATGAACCTACTGGGGACACGGAGTCGCATTTTTCCCAGGTCATGCCTAGCATATGTTGGCAGGCAGCTGAGAAAGGCCGAAGCGTGGACATTCAGCAATACAGCAAAGGGGAAACTGAGGCACACTCTTTCCACTGCAGGCCCAACGTGGCCAACTCAACATGCCCAAATGTGGGGATGATTCTTTTCCTCCTAACTTGAAACCGAAATCCATGATGAAAAAATATAAAAGTAGCACAATTTAGAGAAATTGTCCGTTTGAGCACATACACTACTTGCCACGTGCTGTTTCTAGGTACGAGAGCCAGGGTGGAGTGGGGGCAGAGAACGAGGGAGGACACAGAGTGTATTTCAGAAGAGGAGCTCTTCTGGGAGGAATCTGCCTACATTAGAAGTATTTTTCTAATTCCAAGAAGTGGTGACATGGACATAAAATTTTGACAAGCCTGAAACGGTCACTGGACCCCAACTGTTCTATTTATAGTACTTTTCATATCCACGTTGGAAGCAAAAAAATATCCTCAAACTCACAAAAAATAAATAGACCCTGAACCCACTGATAATGATGGGAAGAAAATAAAACATTTTAGAGAACTCCCATAAGGACCATGACCATGGAAATGGGAGGGATGGGCTTTTATGGCAGGGAGAGGTTCTGGAGAGTATTCGATAACTTTTTAAAAAGAGAACTAAAATGAAAGCCCACTACAAAACAGATAAAAATCGCAAATTAGGGGTTTTTCCCTCCACAATCTTGAAGACTTGGTGTTGACATCAACAACAATGGATCCACAGTTGGAAAAGTCCACAGGAGATCAGATGAGGACCTAGAAGACTGATTTCTGGGGTTTGCCTCCAAGACCTGAAACAGCCACAGAAACAAGTCCTCTACAAACTCTATGTCCCTGACGTCCCTTTTCCTTCAGCGCGTTGCCGCCGCCGCTGCCAAACTTCAACTGCTTTGGACTGAAAATGTCATAAGCGTGGGTGGTGCCTTCAATGTGTTACTGTTGTTTCATGACAGTCTTGTTTCCCAAGTGCAACCTGTGTTCTTTTAGCCTTCTTTCCTCTTGTTTTTCTGCAGTACTAAAAGGTGTTTCCATCCTTCCTTTGTAGGTGAGCCCACCCCATCACACCCTCTGAGGGGCTGCTACAATGTCAGGGGTATCCAAGAACGAAGACCTCCCTCCTCTCCACACTATCAAAATGAGTCCTATTTTCTAGCCCAGCCCCCAAACCTGTCAGATGTTTCTTGGTCCCATAATTGCCATGGTCCCTCCAGATTACCTCCCCACAAACTTTGGTGTGTTCCTCTCCCATCCAGAATGTCCTGAGGTGGTTTTTCTGGGTGGTTCTCATAACCCATAGCCCATGGGGTCCCAACAAAGTCAGTTTTCCTATAAGTTCTCTTTGTTTTGTGGAAGCCCCAAGAGGTGGATTGAGAAGAGATTTTCATCTAAGGTGAAAGGTTTTTCAACTAGCCCCTAAAGGTCTTAGGTAGTTAATGAACCTTCAACAGACCCACAGCAATTCTGGTGTCAGAAGTTATCAGTGGTCTGGTCAAAGAAGACTCAGAGCATTTTCTGGAATCCTGAACTACAAGGTTCTGCCTCACCTCTCTCTACTCTGACATCGTGAAATCAGCAAAACCAGGTATTTATTCTCCTCCTCGCTCCCAGCAGATCTGAGGGCACTGACAGTGCAGCTGATCCCTCTGGGCCTCAGCCTCCCATCTGAAACATGGGGCATTGGGGTCAGTCAAGCTTTTTGAAATGGCAAAACCTCGGCCTGTTCTTAAAAATGAGATCTTTTGGCCGGGCGCAGTGGTTCACGCCTACAATCCCAGCACTTTGGGAGGCCGAGACAGGTGGATCATCTGAGGTCTGGAGTTCGAGACCAGCCTGGCCAACATGGAGAAACTCCATCTCTAGTAAAAATACAAAAATTAGCCAGGCGTGGTAGATGCCTTTAATCCCAGCTACTCGAGAGGCGGAGGCAGGAGAATTGCTCAAACCCAGGAGGTGGTGGTTACGATGAGCTGAAACTGTGCCACTGCACTCCAACCTGAACAATGACATGAGACTGTCTCAAAAAAGAAAAAAAATCAAAGAACACACGATAGGAGATCTCCATGTATAAAAAGGCACCATGATGTACAAAGCAGGAGTCAGATTTAGTGCCCACCTCCTTAGCCTCCTTGGGGATACCACAGTGCTTCCCAGAGTCAAGTAAATACCACTGGATATGGTCAGAGTTTCCTTGGCATTAGTGACCTATGTACCTGTAACACACTTTGACATCTCTGTGTATCACCTTCACAATATTTGTATCTAAATTAATTCATTTGAATACATTTTGTTTTTAAAATGAAAACTTCCTGTCTTGATCACAAGTTTTAAAAAAATCAATTGCTGTAAATAGAAAGTAAGCATAAAAATACAAAGAAAACAAGCAGCAATGATTAAATTCCAGCTGGAGTCTGTTGTCTGTGAGTCTGAACTAAAACCTGGGGTTCGTTCTTTATCTCTCTGTCTCTGTTTCTCTCTCTCTCTCTCTCTCTCTCTCTCTCTCTCTCTCTCCCTGAAAATGATATTAGCAGTTATTAAATAATTGTTAAAGATACCAGCACCCAATGAAGACTTTCTCTTTGTAGTAATAAGATGGACCGAAAGGTAATGAAAGGGGAGTCATTTCCTATGCAAGTCAGTGTTGAGCAATGCTGTATCCATGTACTGCCTGTGGTCACTGTGCATACACTAGGGGTGTACAGCCCACACTTCAGAAGATCCTGGGTTAACTTAACTATGAGATTGTTTCTGACTCAAAAGTTTCTGTAATTCTTATCTCCCTTTTAACTCATCTTTGCTCTTTGCCCCCAGTCCACTTCATTTCACCATCATCTCAACTCTGATTAAGAGTCTTTCTTGGCCTCCGAATTGATAGTACTTTATTGCTTCTGCATGCTCCTTCTCCTCTGAATAAACTTCATCAATTGAACTGGGCTCCTTGGGGTCTGCAGTTGTAATTTGGGCAGGAGAGGTGCAGCCTGGTCATTAAAACGTAGCCACAGTGCCAGTACTGGGAAGGACCAGTACTTCCCAAGTAGTCCTGCCTAGGATGGAAAGCTTAGGAAGTGCTTCCTAGTTTATTATCTTCCAGTTGGCTTTGGGAGATGAAGAGGGAAGTTTGGACAGGGAAGGTCTTTTTGTTTTTTGACTTCCTCTTGGGAGGCTAGACAGACCTCGCGGTACTGAAAGACGGGACAACCCATGGAGCTATCTGTGACTTCCATGTACCAAGACAAGGACCCTATAGCTAGGGTAGTGACACCTAGAAGAGAAACCAGAACAAAGCAGACAGGCCGTCCTCTTCCTAATTCCATGCCCTGATAACAACCCCTATTTTTTGCCTTTAGCTGTCCCCTGATTTCCAACCCAGTGGGACCAGAATCTGACTTCCCTTTAACCCTTTCACGGCGTCTCAGCCTCCATCTGCCTTGGGCTCTGCCTGGCCTCCCCATCTAACTCTTCCCAGTTTTTGTGTAAATGGAGCATATTTTATGTGCGAATATTTTAGTAACCATATGTTCTGCAAGTAAACTTGTGTTAATACTTGTCAACAACTACAGAGTTTATGATACGAATAATTCTTCCTACCATGAAGAAAAAAAACACGTTTGTTTTCTAAGAATGTTTATTTGTAAACATGTATTCACTATATTAATATAAATTTCTTACCTGGCAATAAAACTGATTATATGTGATGCTGTTGGGGTTGTCATGTATCTTTCTAATGCCCTGCTTCCTTATTTGTGTGTTCACCAGGAAACACCAGTATTAGCATAGAGAGGGAGGTCTTTAATACTCAGAATATTTGGGAAGTTGTTTCAGGCAAAGGCAATTTCTAGTTAACAGCAACTTACCTACATTTTCCAGGAGATTTTGTGTTTGCAACCTTTCTGGTAAGTTTGCATCACATCTCCTAGTTCACAACCTTGCCTTTAGAAATCTATTGTTGCTAGGTTTCCTCATCATAACTAAATTTATCCTTGATGGTCAAGAATCTTGCTACGATCTGAACTTAGTTTTAAACACTGATCAGGGTCATTGAAGACACAAATATTGAAAGAGTGGAAGATTGGATTCTTCTCCTAATTATTAAATTTTATTTCCTGTCTGGTCTCTGTTAGCATGGAGTTTGAAATTTTCAGGTAGAAACTTGTCTGGATATGGTTCTTCCAGAAAGAGTCTCTGAGATGAGGATGTGAGAAGTGAAGAGAATACTGGGAGGGGATGGGCGGTTCAATAAGGAATGGAAAGCAGCCAAGAAGAATATGACATCATGCCGGCTACCACTATGCATGGCTGGGGTTCATGCTGCAGGGAAACTTTGGGAGAGGATGTTGAACACGTACACAGAATCGTCCTGCCCAGGTAACATGGAGCTTGAGTGTTTGTGTGCCCACAGCCATCGTGCCTTGTTTCAAAATTGCTTTCAGGGATGCTAATGTTCAGGTACCTCATGTGCAAAAGCAGAAGGTTTTCATGGTGTCAAGAATCCCTAGGCACAGAGACGCACCTACTGGCGATTGTAAGCCAGTCATTGTGTGCAGAAGTCCCAAAGACACTGAGGATGTGGCCAGGAACTCAGAGTGGCTGCCCAAAGCCAGAGATCTGAGGCCCGTGGGAAATGAAACTTCCACTCTCTGGATACTTAGAGGTGTTGTCGATGGCAAGCGAAGGGGAGAGTAGACCACGATTTGCAGTCAGGGTCAGGAATCGGGATCTTTACTCTGGGATTTGAAGACCCTTCATTGGCCACAGGATCACTTGGCATCACCAAGAGCAGATCCCGTGGGTTGTCTTTGGGGCATAGTTCTGGTTATCAGAGAAGTCTGGAAGGCAGAGGATGCTCTTTCAGTACCGGCAAAGTGTGATAACGGGAGTCACTCCCATCACAGCCGCATGAATGCAGTCATAGGAGAGAGAAGTACACCTCTGTGACAAGGGCCACACTATTCCTCTAGTGAGCCACTTGGTTGATTATAACTCATAACAACAATAACAATCATAACAAGCTTATTTGCAGAGCCACACACTGTTGATGACCTATCCATTGCCACATTGGTTCACACTGCAAAAGGTAAGTACTATTATGCTTTGGAGATGCTGTTTAGAGATTTATCTAAAATTTGAGTGATTTTCCTAAAGCAGTTCAACTAGTACATGATAGAACTGGGATTCAAACTCCAGAGCTCATGCTTTAATGGCTCTGTCAACAGTTCTCACTTGGGGCCAGGCATGGTGGCTCATACCTGTAATCCCAGCACTTTGGGAGACTGAGGCAGGTGGCTCACCTGAGGTCAGGAGTTTGCAACCAGACTGGCCAACATGGGGAAACCCTGTCTATACTAAAAATGCAAAAATTAGCCAGACGTGGTAGCAGGTGCCTGTAATCCCTGCTACTCAGGAGGCTGAGGCAGGAGAATCACTTGAACCCAGGAGGTAGAGGTTGCAGTGAGCCGAGATTGCGCCATTGCACTCCAACCTAGGGGACGAGAGTGAGACTTCCTCTCAAAAAAAAAAAAAAAAAAAAAAA